TAAGCAATATAATATTGATTTAATTATAAAATTCGAGTAAAAGTTTGAAATAATTATAAAGAAAACTGATACCAGATAACTAGATAAGAGTATAGAAGTGAGTACATGCCCAAGATATCACAAAAACACCTAAACAATAGTTATCTATAGACTACATAGCATTATAAATGAGACACGTACAATAAACAATGTAGCTACGTGAAAATAGTACGACGGATCGAATCGCATTAATAGAGAAACTTGAAAGGTGTTTTTACACGATAAAATATATTGTTGCAAAATGTAAAAAAAAGAATTTTAAGATTTTTTTTGCTTTTAAATTTAAGTAAGTTAAAATTAGGTCATTATTAATTATTCATTAACATTTATTGAATACATATATTTTAATATAGCTTTTTAAATTTGGTTGTCAATTAATTATTATAACTAAAATGGAAACCAAATACAATATAATATACACATAATATATAAACATTTTTCATATAATTTGTCATATATTAAATCAACTTGAAATTTTGTTATATATTTCTTTTAATTTATTAGCTTTAATTATACTGATTAAGTCTATTTATTATATTATTATTTTTTTTTTTTTAGTTTTTTAGTCGACTTCAATTGAAAAATACATGGTCATTATTCCATACATTGTAACAAATAAAATTAAAAATAATAATGTTTAAAAAATGTTAATTAAACTTTTTTATTTTATCAATTATATAATATGATAAAGGCAGTAAACATATTAATATTAATATGTACAATGAACTTAACTTTCCTAGCAAAGTATGCAAATAAGTGTGATAATATTTTCTAATAAATTCGTTTATCCAATATATCTTAAATATTTAAATGTATACGCACGTGTCTAGTAAAGTATTTGTTTATTCAATTATTATGTTTAAATGATTTGAAGAAATTTTTGATGTTTAATTTATTCATATACACGTAAACATTATGTCCGTATTGTTACAATATATATCTATATAGATATACTGCTGAATCTTTGCTTAAAATCAAAATTATAGAGTAATACCTATCAAATTTTCATATCATACTATACTATATTATTTATACATAATCTACTAGTATTTTAGATAAATGTATATTACTTCTGTACCGAATCCACGCGTTAGAAGATTTATATTCCGTAAATACCGTGAGGCAATAGTCCAGGGATATTTTACAATAATATGAAATTAATACACTTTTTACTCATATGATAAAAAATACATAAATCAAGTATAAATGACTAAGATGAGCAACGGTATAATTTTTTAGACGATAATCGAATTTTTAAACATGAATCCATCACATTGATAAAAAAGTGTTATGTTCACACGTAATAAAATTTTATAATGGGGAAATTGTTAATGCGATAATAAACGAAAAAAATCCGGTGTCAAAATAAAGTAACTTATATTATTTATATATGGTCGAACAGAAACCTAAAATTATATTTTTCGGATATGGGTCAAACGAGATTGCTTTAATAGTATATTTATTTACAAATAATTTATACACTCGTAATATTATATTATGATAATCGTTTATACAATATGTATGATTTATTGAAAACGCAAGTTGTACATAATATTCCATGAAATTTTAATATCTTTCGTACAAGACGTAATAATTGATTCATTTAAATTAATTTTATTGTTTTCTATTTTTTTTCTTTTATTACAATCATTGTTGTTAAAGCACATTTTTAAGTACGCACTGAGATTTTAATGTACGAGCGAACATATCATATAGATTTTTTTTTATCGACAAAAATACTGAACTCAAAAACACTCAGTTGACAGTTATCTGCAGAAGAATCTCGAGTGCAATACATTGGTGCGTCTTCTTTTTTTAAAAAAAAACGATTCTTAAAAAGTATAATGTATATCTATAATTGTTTAGCAAAAGAATAAATACTCGATGTTAAAGAGCAATGTTTATGAAAATGTTATATAAATGTTACACGAATAAATCTGTATAATGTAGTAACAAAGACTGTAACGAACAACTGCTAAAAACATTATTATTGGTATATTATAATATAATATATTATTAATGCATACTTTTAAAATTGATTAGCTTTGATGAAACTTTGTTATTCACTTTTTGTCTATATAATAAATATTATATAAGTATAACACGGTTTGTTTTTTTAGTACTTATATCAAAAGAGATGAAAAAACAATTTTACAAAAAACAAAAAAAAAATGATCGCATGGCAGTATAATGAAACAAAATGCCATCGTCTTCGTTTAATCCGTAAATTGATATATATATATATATGATAAATTTATGTAGGTACCTAATACTATAATTTCTATGCAAAACACGATCGACGGACTGGAGAACGACTTGAGATATTACACCATGACAAAGACCGGCGCTCCGTTACCACGGTAACTCTGGTTTTGACCTACTACGCCACCACCACCAAACCCATAATAATCCGGTATTCTTACAACAGCTGTTGTTGTTGTTATTGTTGTTGTCTTACGTATATATATAATAAATATATACATAGCAATTACAGACCATGTGCGGTAGAGTACTGCAGAAGACGTTTTCCTTTGTTTCATTGTGTATATAGCATATACGCGCGCTATTTCATAACAGTGTCGACAAGGCTGATATTTGGCGAGGGGTTATGATTTATAAAACAAGGCGATTATAACACGAAAACACCATAAATAGTTATATTTAAATTAATAAAATACACATTAAAATTTAAAATGTGTTAAAAAGTATCATCTCTGATCTACATTTCAGAGGGAATTTAAAAATAATATTTAGTATAATAGGTATATTAGAATATAGGATATAGGATATACTGAACATTGTGTAATCATATCTATATCTACGCATGTGTAATTATTTGTTGATACACGACCGTGTTTATCTATTTTTTCTCCTTCAATAATCTTTTCTATTTAATTTTTTTGACGTTTTATTTTCGATAACTATATTAAAACAAAGTGTAGATAGCTACTATGGGTACAATATTATTAGAATTTGTTGACTATTTTGTTCCGATCCTTAATGCGTAAAGAGCAGTAAGGTTTAAAAATTTAAATTTTTTCATTTTATCAAATTCGTGAAAATCATATCCAGTACGGAATATTTTCGATATTGTACGCTAAATTCACTTTTTTACGCACAGTGTGGTGATGTTAGGTGTGTTGAGATAGAGATCAATGGAGTAGATTATAACTTATATGTGTTATATGTGATACGTTTATGTAATATTAAATATGCGGTTACAGGATGTTAAGCAACTGCCCACGCGATACGCGCGAATAAAACGTTTTCAGCTTTACGATTCTATATAATTATAAAGCGTATAAAAAACACATGTCGTGATATTATAACATTATATTATTATAACCATAGCACAGATTTAATCTTTTCTGGGTTACAACGCGTGCGCGAGCCCACATAACGATAAGAAGAGATATCGATGGACAACTGTGGAGCGCATATAGTGACGGAGTAAAGACGACAGAGTATAATTTAAATATGAAATAGCATACGAGTACGAGGACATTTTTTATATATACGTTTAATTTAAGATTTAGCGTAGTTTCATATTATATAGAATAGATATGACAGAATGAAGATATACAGAGAGAAGTGAAAGCAATTCTCTCCAATAATAACAGTCGCATGCATAACATCTATACACACACACACATATATATATTATGTGCATTATCGAATATGAACGAACACACCTACTATACTACTACGCGTGTATCACCTTGCTTCCGGTTCGTTGGTCGAGTGGCTGTATGCGAGCTTTAAATAATAGCAAATAACAATAATATTAATAATAATATATGCGCGAGCACACACCATGTGCAAATATTATTATTATTATTATTATATATTGTATAATTTAGGCGACAAATAAAAATTTAAAATCGAAAAACTATCGGCCCATCGTTTTGCGCAGCGCAATTGGTTGAAAAAAGTTTTATTTATGGGGGGGGAAGAAAATACAAGAAATGTATGAGTGTGTATATATTATATATATATATATATATATATATATTATAAGTTTAGTTTTCGTGGCTTTCTAAATAAATGCCAACGGATAGAGATTATTACAATGAATTATTACACTCGGATACGAGATTTAAATACCATCCAGACTATATATTATATTATTATCCACACATAGAAGTACATAACACTAAAAGTATCATATTTGTATTCTTCTGCGTAAATAATACGCTGCACATGTGTGTAATATGTGTAAAAAACGTATTACCGCAAAGTAGTTACAGCAATCCAATCGACTTCGTATAATTTATACATATACGATATACCGCACACTTCCGAAGTATTTCAATTTTTTTTTTTTTTAAACTATGAAACGCGTATTTTGAAAAAATGTCCTTAATGGATTTTTAAATTTCTATTATGACTATTCAACTTTCATTTTCTTGGTATATAGATAATATATACTACATTTAGAGAATCAATAAAATGTCTATATATATTATTTATTATATAGTAAGCAGTTTGTTGATTTTAAAGAGCTCGTATAATTTATTTATACAAAAAATAATATACCTACGTTCTATCACTCGTGACTATATAAATTCGTGGTTTATTGAGATTATCGAGTATTTGTAATGAACGAATGTAAATATTGTTTTGATGACCAAACAATATTAAAAATCATAAGCACTTATGGCACTCTCAATATTACATAATAAACATAAATGACGTACGGATAAACAATATTTATGATTTGGTCTTGAAAATTAAACCTTGATTTAATTTACAACTAACAAATAAAAATATATTATGTTACGAATAATTATTAATGGCATTATATTATGTGTTATTACTGTCGTATTATACGTATATACCGTTGCATCATACATAAGATTCCTCCTCACAGTTGACGTTTTAAACATATCTCCTTTTTCGACATACTTCACTCGTGTCAATTGTTTTCCCTTATAAATCATCACTTACTACTAGTACTATACCTTGGATATAAGTTCGTCGTGATTTGCCAGGTGCGCTCTGCAATGAATGCAAGAGTATGTCCTGTGGCAGTCCGGCAAATACGCCTGAAACGTCTTGACCATGGTGCTCTAGTCAGCGGTACTCGGTTACGGGTTGAAACATGAAGTTCAAATGCATCCAGTGTAACTGAAATATAACAAAACAAAATCACATAAATTATAACGTTCCTGAGCGTAAATATTTTTTGCTTTGATGAGCTGTTTTGCGCAGTTCGTAAATAAAAAATAACATGTTTATGTATGTATAATGTAAACAACCGATGCAATATTATATTTGTGTCATGTCGTTTGTGTGTGTGTGTGTGTTCCTTTTAAAAATATTATTTTGTTTACTCGGTACACAAATAAATTCTGGACCTGCATACTAGTATTGATTTTAATAATATAATGTATACATTTAAATTTACTGCGTTACCCAAGGACAAATCGACTCCTACCCTTGCAAGTATATACACTCGATCAATTTTTTTAGGACTTTGTAGAAATGCAACACGAACAATGCTGTATAAGGGGTAGACAAATAAGTTGATTCTACGTTAGATTTAAATGCCTACAACTAAGATAGGTGCGTTTAGATAAATCAAATCGTTAACGTTAACTCAAAACTGTTTTGGTCCTGTGTAGGTACAGTTTTAAATGAGTACTAAATCGATTTAAACAGACCAAACATTTTTAGTCATATGTCTATTTTTTTTTTATACCCTATGTACGCGCGTACAGTTATTATAATTTATTTATAATATATGGTATTATGCGACATATTTAAGTTGGCACAGTGAAATTTTGTTACAATTATAGTGACTAGTGGACAATTATAAATGTCACGAGAAATGCGTGTTACATTTGCACAAAATGCGTGCAACATATTAATTTATAATAAAATATTATTAACTGGCCATACAGTTTTATGATACAACATATTTTTACGTGTTCATAAAAAAATATAGTTGAAATCAAATGCAGGATTTAAGATTTTCCATTATTTTTTCGTTAATTACAAACTAATAATTAGTGTTTACTACAGCGCATTAAATCGACATGGGCACTTGTCTTGCATGTAAGATGGAGAATCTTGATAGCGTTCTTCAACTCGAAAGATATTTAACATTTAAATTAAAGTACTCTACTTGCGATAAAAAAAACAAAACAAAAAGAACATTGTAAAAATTTGAAGTGATTATCTTATGTAGGTATTATAATCTTTAGACGTCTAAGAACAAAAATAAACGTGATTAAATTACGTTTTCTGTAAGCCATACTGATAAAATTGTTGTTCGATACAAACAATATTTTTTTATTAATACTATTTATAGGTTATCATAATGTCTTAACAGATCACTATTCACTAATAAAATTTGAATAAAATATTCAAGGAAATAAACGTTTAATCAGCATTTCAGTTTGTAAATTATAATTTTATGTAATATAAATAATATTTATAAGTTTTTACTTAACAAAGGTTATATATTTATAATGATCTATAAAACCAATAAATATAGAAATTTAGTCACTAGGAGAAACAGAATTAAAAAAATAAATAAATTTGATTAATTACTCGTATATAGTTAAATTCTAAAGTAGGTACAGTATAATAATAATTTACCTCTTGGAAATATTTTAATGAATTAATTTTATGAAATAATCTTAGAAAAATCATTTGATCTAGTTTATTTATTTATTATCAGTAATATCATGCATTAATATTTGAGCAAAAAATGTTACCCAGATTGATTTTCTCTTATAACTAAAAACATGATGCAACGAATAAATTGAATAAAATAATAAAACTAGGTCAGAATTATAATATTAAAAATTAAATCTAAACAAGTTTATTTTTTCTACGAATTTCAGCTGTTTTTTTTTTTACTTAATATCCGAAAGAAGACTTAGGTTATATTATTATTTGATATTTTTATTTTGAATTCAGTTTCAGTACCACATTTTCCTCGGTTTATACTATAGTTCCGCGTAATTTACAACGTACGCACTAGCGTACTGTATCAAAATCCTTCATTAAAACATCTGAAAACAATTTTTTTTTCGAAGAACAAAAACATGAGGTAAAATCTGAAACGAGATAGGAATTTTAAATAGAAATAAAGTCTATGAAACGATGGGGTGAATTTAAAAATCATAATGTGTATATAAAATGAAGAGTTTTAAGAAATATGAAATGTATACTGCACAGTACGCACATACAACTTTTACATTATTAGTCCATTAAATATAAACTCTTACTATTCACATATTGTTATTAAATTTATAACTTTCAGTAGCTATAATTACATGACTGTAGGCACCAGATTTCAATATTTTAGTTTAACCATGAGCAAAACGTTTGTTAATACATTTTTTTTTTTTTTTTGATACTTATTTAAGCTCTTATAATGTCTTTTACTGATTCTTAGGAACATAATATTCCATACCATTAAATATATAAACTATTTATACTAACATATCCATTCTACACCAGTCGTTCTGGGAATATTTCTTTCAACGTCTCCCATGGGACTATAGGAGACTATATACGTACTTTACAGGGAAATATGCGGGCTATCCGCTTATAAGGTTCTAAACTAACCATGCTAAGAGGGATTGAAAGCAATGATCTGAAGCCACTACTCACCATATATCACACACGAAACATATAGGTGTGTGCAGACTTTTTTTTCGGAATATAACGTTGCCTGAATATGTTATTTTAAAGGTTCAGGTTTAAAATTTTAGCAGAAAAATATACTACACATTATATTATAAATCATAAGCACTTTTTATTTTACTAAATAAAAATAAAAATTTAATTTAATTAAAATTTAATAATTATATAATAAAACATTATTATGATATTATTGTCATTAAATAATTATGAATTGTAAATTCATGGGTATGAAATATCTAATATCTTTTGATAACCATATTAAAGCCATAAACTTTGTACTAGTGACGCACAACAATATCAAACCAATTTCACTGATATCGATGGAACTAATTTATCGAAGTAAATCAATATTCGATATATTTCATTACAATTTCTATTTTATAGTTATTTAAGTTTTGACAGTTAATCAATGGACAAAAAAGAACGATAAACACAAACGATAAGCAATATTTTCTACTTTTTCGCCACTAGTTCCAATTAAATATTTAACTTTTCTCGTTTATAATGATATGATATGAACAATTTTTTGATATTTACAATTCCAAAAGAAAAGCGTCTATAAATTATTTAAAAAGTATTGTTTTTAGTTTTATAAATTATAACGGTTTATCGATAACTGAAAACATATCATTGTGCACTACTTTATACTTTAGTATAGTAGTATTTATCATTTATATTTACGGATGAAAATAAACCCTGTGTTAAACTACAATATGCACTAATGATTTATAGTCGTATTAAATTTACATCTACTTAGTTATTAATCGATCGGGTTACGCTATTAGGTATTTAAATAAACATCATTATATTAAATTAGGTGTGTACATATTACAGGAAATTTCGATGTCAACACACTCATCATCGATTTAAATGTGATATCCGCTCACTAAAATAAAACCATACATACATAAAGGTGTGAGGATCTCTTTGAGTGACGAGTTGTCAAAAATTGTGTTTAAACGGATATAAGATATAGAATATTTATAAATGTGCGCCGATGAATCTAGTCGTGGATGCGCGATAACATCGCAAGTGCATCAATGTTTTTCGATAATAGCATTACTTAGTTATCGAGTATAAAATAATATGATGTAAAACGGATAGTATAAAAGACAGCAGCGTTACGCGTCGATTACCGAGTTATATATTATTGTATTGCACACGATGTATGTGATATTCATGTATAGTCGTATAGACGTATACGCATATATAAATTATAAATATTACTATATATTGTAGCTAGGTGTTAGTATACCTACTATACCTACTGTGACGGGTGCCATAATATATAATATGTCATTAACATTACACTGGCTTCTGAAGCAAAACAATACTCGATCGCACGCGCGATACTCACAATGAGTAAAAAACTGTGTACGACCGTGATTGAATACAATTTTTGTTTTTGAAATCCAATCGACGGGACAAAACATGATAATATTATACATATAACAACAAAATACATGGATGTCTAATAAGAGTACACGACATCCACGAAGTATAACAATAATGGTATAAAAACGAAAATATATTATAACACGATGCCCATCACAATACCCACATATAGGTATACCTACTATTGCTTTATTAATATTATAATGTGTTGTATTGTACGATTTCTCGTTGAAAAACACAGTCGGGCCACCTGGCTCCGTGCCCGTAGAGTCCGAGACGTTTCTTTGTTTCGGAGACGTAATGCAACAATAAATATTAATAATACCATACCATACGTGTGCAGGTCGTCAGTGTCTATTCGGCATTGTGCTCTACACCGGCGTCGCGCGCTCGCGGCGGTCCACGGAATGCACGGCGATCGTGCTTTTATTGATTAAATACGTTTTTTGTTTGTCGACGAAGACAAAATACGATTACACGATATTACATAATATTACGGTTTTGTTTACGACAGTTGTATTGAGTTTACAAAGTATAGTCATAACACTCATGACACTCATAAGTCATAAGCATAACGTACATATACGCATACCTGTACAATTGGAGGAAAACAATCGTTTTTTTTTTTTGATTTTTACGCACAAGTATTATTGAAATTTGAGGGCCTAATGTCTGTTCATAGATCCGGGGAACGCAGATCCGTGATTTTCGTTAGTCGTACAAGGCCGAGTTTCTTCGAACGTCGCGGGTCAACACGTATACCTAGTTGATATTGTATAAACGCGATTCTCGATTAGGTACTATTTTGTAACAGAAGACCGTTCGTAGGTACCTATGACGATATTGTAAACTTGGCGCGTCGGTCACCGACCCTTGGGGATTAGGTACGAAAACTGGCGAGGTGTGCTTGTATACTGCTCTCGAAGATTATCTGCGCGCGCGAACGTTTGTTTGACGAGTCTATATTCCGTTTACCATTCTCTACAGTTCTTTTTTTAGGCGTCTCGCTATATGTTATCTCTATATTTATTTCTGGAGTATTATATTATTCCAATACCGTTGCCAAAACG